TCACCATTTCTTATGTCTTTTTCTTTTATTAAGAAAAGTAGAGAAAGGGGAGGAAAGAGAATTAATTAAATGTTTAACTTAAGAAGACCAGTAAAAGAATAGTAAAATAAAAGAGAACAAAGGAAATAATAAAAGTAAGAGCAGAAATTAATCAAACGGATAAATCTCTTAGTTCTACTAATCAGGGAAAAAGAAAGACTCAAAATATTAGTAATAAAAAATTACGGATTTCAAGTCAGTATTATAAACTTACATCAGCAAATCTGAACACACAGAAGAAAATGAATAATTTTAAAGGAATACCAAAATTGACTTGAAAAGAAATGGAAAACTTGCATAAATAAGTAATGTTCAAGGAATATAATCAGATGATGTTAACTAGATATATTGAGGTGGTGGGGTGCCTGGGTGGCTCAGTCGGTTGAGCATCCGACTTCGGCTCAGGTCATGATCTCGTGGTCTGTGAGTTCGAGTCCCATGTCGGGCTCTGTGCTGACAGCTTAGAGCCTGGAGCCTGCTTCGGATTCTGTGTGTGTGTCTTTCTCTGCCCCTCTCCCGCTCATGCTCTGTCTCTCTCTCTGTCAAAAATAAATCAAAACATTAAAAAAAAATTTTTAAAAAGATATATTGAGGTGGTTATTTCACAATATATACACATCAATGTGTTATACTCAATCATTGTTATATATTTGAAATTAATATGTCATATATCAATTATACTTCACTTAAAAAAAAGTATAATCAACAATCATAAGTCTTCTAGATCCAGATAGTTTTAGAAATAAGATTTGCCAAATTGTATCTTTAACGTGTTTTGTTTTCCTTTCCCATTGAAAAAAGGGGGGAGGTGCCCGAGTGGCTTAGTTGGTTAAGTGTCAGACTTTTGATTTCAGCTCAGATCATGATTTCCTGGTTCACGAGATCCAGCCCTAGTATTGAGCTCTGTGCTGACAGTGAAGCCTGCTTGGGATTCATTCTCATTCATCTTCCCTCCCCCCCCCCCTCGCCACCCCCCATCTTTCTCTCTCTGCCCCTTTCCCACTTGCCTGCTCTCTCTCTCTCAAAATAAATAAATGAACATTTTAAAATAGTGGGGCTTTTTTTGTTTTTGTTTTTTGTAGATAGCATATAGTTGAATCTTTCTCTTTATCCATTAGGACAATGTCTGCTTTTTAATTGGAGTTATGTAGACCATTTACATTTTGTAATTATTGATATAGTTAAGTTTAAATTTCCTGTCTTGGCTGTTTGTTTTCTTTTTAAATTTTTTTTTTTCAACGTTTATTTATTTTTGGGACAGAGAGAGACAGAGCATGAACGGGGGAGGGGCAGAGAGAGAGGGAGACACAGAATCGGAACCAGGCTCCAGGCTCTGAGCCATCAGCCCAGAGCCCGACGCGGGGCTCGAACTCACAGAGCGCGAGATCGTGACCTGGCTGAAGTCGGACGCTTAACCGACTGCGCCACCCAGGCGCCCCTTCGCTGTTTGTTTTCTAATTGTCCCATCTGTTCTGGGTTCCCCTTTTCTTTCTCTTAAATTAGTATTTTTTTTTTTTTATAATTCCCTTTATGTCCTTTGTTGGCTTATTAGCTATAACTCTTTATTGAGTTATTATAGTGGTTGCTATAGAGTTTATAATATACATCTTTAAAGTGCAGTAGTCTACCCTCAAGCATGACTTTACCATATACTGTTTCATGTATAACATAAGAATCTTATGAAAATATACTTCCATTTTTCTTCTCCCAGTCCGTGAGATATTGTCATACATTTTACTTCTACAAAGATGATAAACCCCACAATACATTATCAGTTTGTTTGTTTGTTTGCTTTACACTGTCTGTTGTCTTTTAAAGGTATCTAAATAATAAGAACAGTATATTATGTATTTGTCCATGTAGTTACATTTTTAGTGCTCTTCTTTCTTTTGTGTGGATCCCAGATTTTCATTTAGTATTGATTTCCTTTACTTGGAGATGTTCCTTTATCATTTCTTGTAGTTGAAGTCTGCTGTGATGGATTCTTTGAGCTTTTTAAATTTTCAAAAAAGTCTCTTTCACCTCTGTCTTTGATGAATTCTAGGTTGGTAGTTTTTATTTTGCTTTAAATTTGTCTTGGGCAAAAAATTCTGTAGATTGATACCTTTTAAATTTTCATACTTTAATGTAATACTTTAAAGTACTATTGTCTTCTTGTTTGTATTATTTTAGATGAGACATCTATCCTTTTTACCTTCATCTTTGTGATTGAACTTATCTTTTTTTCACAGCCTTCTTTTAAGATTTTATCTTTATCACTGATTTTAAGCCATTTGATTAAAATGTTCCTTGGTTTAGTTTTCTTCTTGTTACTTGTGCTTGAGGTTCTCTGGTATTCTTAGATTTGTGGATGTACAGTTCTCATTAAATCTGGAAACATTTTGGCCAGTTTTCTACAAATATTTTTCCTGTCTCTACCCCCCTTTAGAGATTCTAATTATATACATATATATATACATACATATATATACATATATATGTGTGTGTGTGTGTGTGTGTGTGTGTGTGTATATATATATATATATTTGTCCTCTTAAAGAAATCCCACAGCTCACTGATGCTCAGGTCATGATCTTGCAGTTCATGGGCTCGAGCCCTGCATCCGGCTCTGCGCTGACAGTGTGGAGACTGCTTGGGATTTTGTCTCTCTCACTGTCTTTCTGCCCCTCCCCTGCTCTCTCTCTCAAAATAAATCAATACACTTAAAAAATAAAAATATAAGTTATATTATCCTGCTTCTTTGCATGCCGGGTAATTTTTGATCAAGCGCCAGGCATTACAGATTTTAACATTTTTTGGATGTCACATGTGTTTGGATTCCTGAACTTTGTTCTGGAGTCAGAATTGCCCTTTGTTGAAAAGTGCTGCTAAATGATGCCCTGTGAATTATGAAGTTTTCCACTGTGGCATTTGAAAGCAAGCACAGTTCTAGGACCCATGTAAGTTTCAGGCACTGTTCATTCTTATCTTTCTGGTGGACCACCACCTGCCATCCTCCCCCACATATGCACTCTGAGTAGCTCCTCATGTGTTTATTCATTAGTACTCAACTAAATATTCAGGGTGACTCTGCACTGTGAGCTCTGATTGCCTTGGTTTCTCCAGCATCCCAGCTTTGTCTTTTCAGTTCAGAGAGAGGCCTCTTTCCCTGTGTTGGGTAGGGCCTGCAGCAGTAGGCTCTGGCAGTCATAGAGCTCACCTCATTTGTTGCCCATCCCTCAGAAGTCACTGTTCCTAATTAACTGATACCCAGTGTCTTGAGCGTCATTGTTTCCTGTATTTTGTTCCGTTTTGTAATTGTGTCAGGCAGAAAGGCACAGCTTGTGTCTATTACTCTGTCTTGGCCAGAAGAGGAAGTTTAGTTTTCTTGGTAAAGCTTGAAATTCTTTGACAAGTGTCGTGACTCTCCTAATTTATCTGTTTACTATTTTTTTTTTAACATTTATTTGTTTTTGAGAGAGTGCTAGGGGGGCAGGTCAGGGGGGGCAGAGAGGGAAACACAGAATCTGAAGCAGGCTCCAGGCTCTGAGTTGTCAGCACAGAGCCTGATGCAGGGCTCAAAGCCAGGAACAGCAAGATAATGACCTGAGCTGAAGTCGGATGCTTAACCAACTGAGCCACTCAGGAGCCCCTATCTGTTTACTATTTGATGTTTTCTATTTGAATTTTCTTTAAGGATAGTGTATCTAAAAAATTAAATGGCTCAGAGTAGAATAAGTTCTCTGATTCAGTCTGAAACTTATAAGCTAACTTGCTCCAAAAGTTACTTTGTGAGTAATTTTGGAAAATACCAAGCTATATGTTTACCCACATGTATGCTTACTTTTTCTTAAAAGCCTTTCTTCCTCATAACCTTATGATGAGACTTGTTATTAAAGGATTTTTGAAGATTGTCAAAAATACATATAAAGCTCTTAACAGGATACCAGCTACATAACCATTTTCAAATATAGTTGACCCTGAACAACACAGGTTTGAACTACATATGCCCACTTATAACATGGATTTTTTTTTCCAGCAAATACAGTGCTATAAATGTATTTTCTGTTCCTTATGATTTTCTTAATAACATTTTCTCTAGCTTTATTATAAGAATATAGTATATAATACATAGAGCATACAAAATATGTGTTAGTCAACTGTTTACATTATTGGTAGGGCTTCCAGTCAACAGCAGGCTTTTAGTAGTTAACTTGTTGGGGAGTCAAATATTATATGCCGGTTTTAACTGCATGACAGGGCAGGGAGGGTCAGTGCCCATAACCCCCACATTGTTCAAGCATCAGCTGTATATAAGGGTACATATTCACAAAAGTTTAACTTGATTAAAGTAAGCTGTGAGTTGCTGAGGAAAGATTTGAACTTCAGTGTGTCTGTTTCCAACATGAAGTTCCATTAAAGTGAAACGTCTGAGCTTTCCAAAGATGCAACTCTGTCACCAGGTGAGTTCTCCATCATTGGCAATGGTTGTGTGTAGACTGTGTAACCTGGGATGTTGCTGAGAAGATGCAGGCCTAGAACAGCAGTTAGGCTAGATGATATTTGCGAAAATACCTTTCATCTCTGACAGTGAGATTCTCAGAACTGTCAGTGTTAAACAGAATTTGCATGGATGAAAATAATGGATTTTAAGGTAAAGGCATTCTAAATTGAGGACATAACATTTATTATATTAGGTAACAAGAAGAAAGGAAGCAAAACATGACTTTGTTATTACTAAAAAGGATAGTCTACAAAATACTGTATTTTATAAAACGCAAGAAATACTCTACAGTATAAATACCCTTTCTGTATTCGGCATAACCCATGGTGTGGTGGTTTTTTAAATTTCCCTATTATGAATGTTAATATTGATAATACTCTTAACTCTTACATCAAATTATTGGAATAAAGTTCTACTCTTAAATGGTCTCTTAGAAAAGCATATTCTTTATAATGTCTCCTCAATTTATGTTTTGCAGGCAGAAGCAGCAAATTAGCCACTTACACGAGAGGATAAGGGATAATGAAATACGGGCACAACATGCCATGTTAGGACATTATATGAACTGTGAAGATTCTTTTGTGGCTAGTTTGCAGGTAAGGTGTAGAGAATTTTGTAGTTGTTGTTTATTAATAAAGTATATGTTAATTATATGCTGACCTTGTAATATTAGGATGCTTTTTAATTAATCATGTTCATGTTTACATACATAATAAAAGATGTCCCAAGAATTGTCTTCTAGATGTCAGGTTCACACCCCACACAGGAATTACTGCTACCAGTTTCTAGTGTATCCTTCTAGAGTTGATATGTATCACTAGCAGATATAAATGTATTTTATTCCTCTATCTTCACAAAAAGTATCAAAATATATACATTATCTATTCATCTTGCTTTTCTCCTTTATATTACATAAATTATATAAAATGCAGTGAGTAAAAAAGCAGAGAAAAACTCACAAATACAGAGAACAAACTGATGGTTGCCTGGAGGAATGGGCACAGCATAACACATAGACTTGTCAAATCACTATGTTGCACACCTGAAACTAAAGTAATGCGGGTCAACTGTACTTCTGTTAAAACAATTTCAGTGATTATTTCTATGTCATTACAAAGACAACATCCTTTTCCTTTGCTTTTACAGCTGATTGATTTCCCATTTTATGGAGATAGCATAATTTATTCATCTTGTCCCTACTAGTCAGAATTTGGGTTGTTTCTTGCTTGGGGCTACTATGAATAATGTTGTGAAGAATAAAACACTGTTTTGCTCATGCGAGTGTTTTTAACTTAAATTCTCTGAAGTGAAATTTATAGGTATTATAAGAGTTGGTTACTTTTACTGATGTTGTCAAATCGCTATTATATTAACACACTGTGAGATTTTTGCCTTTCTAGTGGGTTTGCATAAAGGGTAGGATGGTGGAGTTATCTCCGTGGTTTTAAAAAAATGTTAGAATTCTGTTAAAATACATAATTTCTACCATCATAGAAACATAACATAACATCATAGAACATAAAATCTACCATCATAACCATTTTTTTTCATCCTAACCATTTTTTTTAAATTTTTTTTTTTTAACGTTTATTTACTTTTGAGACAGAGAGAGACAGAGCATGAACGGCGGAGGGTCAGAGAGAGAGAGGGAGACACAGAATCTGAAATAGGTTCCAGGCTCTGAGCTGTCAGCACAGAGCCCGACACGGGGCTCGAACTCACGAGCCGTGAGATTGTGACCTGAGCTGAAGTCGGACACTTAACTGACTGAGCCACCCAGGCGCCCCCATCCTAACCATTTTTAAGTGTGCAGTTCAGTGGTGCAAATACACTTATAATATTTTGCAATGATCACCACCATCCATTTCCATACCTCTTCACATCTTACAAAACTGAAATTTTGTACCTGTTAAACAGCAACTGTCTATTCACCTCCCCAACCCCTGGCAACTACTGTTCTACTTTATGTCTCTATGATTTTGATTACTCCAATTATCTTGCGTAAAATAAATCATACAGTATTTGTCTTTTTGTGACTGCCTTATTGCACTTAGTATAGTTTCCTCCAGGTTCATCCATACACTAGCATGTGTCAGAGTTTCATTCCTTTTAAAGGCTGAATAATATTCCATCATTTGTATATCACAGTTTGTTTTATCCGTTCATCTGTTGACAGGCATTTTGTCTGCTTCCACATATTAGCTCTAGTAAGTAATGCTGCCATGAACATTTTTTATATTTATTTGAACATGGGTATATAAATATCTCTTGAAGACCCTGCCTTCAGTCCTTTTGAGTATATACCCAGAAGTAGAATTGCGGGATCATATAGTAATTCTATTTTTAAGGTTGTGAGGAAGCACCATACTGTTTTCCATAGTGACTGTACCGTTTTGCATTTCCACCAGCAGTATTACAGGGTTCCAGTTTGTCCACATGGCACCAACACTTGTTATTTTTTGTTTTGTTTTTTGATAGTAGCCATCCCAATGGGTATGAGGTGATATCTCATTGTAGTTTTGATAAGCATTTTCTTAAAGATTAGTGGTGTGAGCATCTTTTTATGGCTTATTGGCTCTTGGTATGTCTTCTTTTTTTTTTAATGTTTGTTTATTTTTTTTGAGAGAGAGAGTGGGAGGGACGGTGGGAGAGGCACAGAGAGAGGAGGAAAGAGAAAAATCTCAAGCTCTGTTGGCAATGTCTTCTCATTCACAGAAAGTTTTTTTTTAATTTTTTCTTAATGTTTATTTATTTTTGAGAGAAACAGAGAGAGAGGGAGACACAGAATCTGAAGCAGGCTCCCGATGCGGGGCTCGAACTCATGGACTGCGAGATCATGACCTGAGCCAAAGTCGGACGCTTAACCAAGTGAGGCACCCAGGCACCCCGATGCACAAAATTTTTTAATTTTTCAAGTCCAGTTTGTCTACTTTTTCTTTTATTGCCTGTGCCTTTGGGGTCATATCCAAGAAATATCGCCAAATTCATTGTCTTGAAGCTTTTGCTACATGTTTTCTTTTACGAGTTTTATAGTTTTAGGTCTTATGTTTAGCTCTTTGATCTACTGTGAGTAATTTTTGTATATGGTATTTGGCAAGGGTCCACCTTCATTCTTTCCATGTGGATAATCCTGTTTTCTCAGCACTATTTGTTGAAAAGACTCTTTTCCACAAGGTGTCTTAGCACCTGATCCAAAATCATTTGACCGTGTATGCCAGGATTAATTTCTGAGCTCTATATTCCATTCCATTGGTCTATATATGTCTTTCATTATCCACACATTATTCATAACAGCACCACACTGTTTTGATCACTGTGGCTTTGTATTAAGTTTTGAAGTCTGGAAGTGTGAGTCCCCCAGGTTTTTCTTCTTTTTAAGATTCTTTACGCTATTTGTGGTCCCTTGAGATTCTATATGAACTTCAGAGTGGCTTTTTCTCCTTTTGCAAAATAATGTGATTTTGATAGGGATTGAATCGAATCTGTAGATCACTAAATCACTTTGAGTATTATTAACATCTTCACAATATTAAGGTTTCCAAACCATGAACATGAAATGTATTGCCATTTATTTATGTCTTCTTCAATTTCTTTCAGCATTGTTTTGTAATTTTTATTATACAAGTCTTTCACAAACCTCCTTGGTTAATTCCTGAGTATTTTATTCTTTTTGATACTGTCATAAATGGGATCGTTTCCATAATTTCCTTTTCAGATTGTTCATTGTTAATGCGTCATAGAAATGCAACAGATTTTTGTGTATTGACTTTGTATCCTAATACATTGCTGAATTTACTCAATAGTTCTAACAAGTTTTTTGTGGAATTGTTAGGATTTTCTACATGCAAGATTATGTCACCTGTGAACAGAGATAGTTTTACCTTCCTTTCCAATATGGATGCCTTGTATTTCTTTTCCTTGCCTAATTCCTCTGGCTGTAACTTCCAGTATTCTGTTGAATAAAAGTGGGGAAAGTGGAATCCTTGCCTTGTTCCTGATCTTAGAGGAAAAGCTTTCAGTCTTTCACCACTGAGTATAATGTTTGCTATCAGTTTTTACTATATAGCTTTTATTATGCTGAAATAGTTTTCTTTCAATAGTTTTCTTCCATTCCTAGTTTTTTGTGTTTTAATCATGAAAGATACTGAATTTTGTCATGTGCTTTTTTGACATCAATTGAGATGAGTATGGGTTTTTCCCTTTATTCTGTTAATGTGGTATATTACATTGATCAGTTTTCAAATATAGAACCATGCTCGCATTCCAGGAATAAATTCTACATGGTCATAGATTATAATCCTTTTAAAATACTGCTGCATTCAGATTGTAACTATTGTTGAGGATTTTGGCATCAAAGATACTGGTCTGTAGTTTTCTTGTGCTGTCTGGCTTTGGTATCAAATAATGCTTGCTTCATAGAGTGACTTAGGAAGAGTAGTTTCTTCTCTTTCGGTGTTTGGAAAAGTTTGAAAGGGATTGGTGTTCGTTTTTTTCTTTCTTTGTTTTTGTTTTTAACATGTTTGGTAGAATTCACCAGTGAAGCCATCAGGTCCAGGGCAAGGGCTTTTTTAAAGGGCAGAGTTTTGATTAGTGATTCAGTCTCTTACTGATAGGTCTGCTCAGATTTTGTTTCTTCATGATTTAGATCGAGGTTTTATGTTTCTAGTAACTTGTCCATTGCGTTTGGTTTATCCAGTTTGTTGGCATACAGTTAATCACTCACAGTACTCTGTTACAATCCTTTTTATTTCTGCAGAATTGATATTAATGTCCTCATTATCATTTATGATTTTAGTAATTTGAGTTTTTTTCCTTAAACCATCTAGGTGAAAGTTTGTCAATTTTGTTGATTTTTTTTCAGAGAACCAAATTTTGGTTTCATTAACTTTCTCTATTTTTATTTTCTCTATTTCATGTATCTCTGTTTTAATCCTTATTATTTCATTCCTTCTGATAATTTTGGATTTCGTTTATTCTCCTTTTTCTAATCCCTTAGGTTGTTAAGTTAGGTTGTTGATGTAAGATCTTTCTCGTTTTCTTCATATGGTTTTAATATGTTTTTCTCCTGAGTGATGTTGAATTTCTTTTTATATATCTAAGGCCCCATTCATATTTCTTTTCTGTGAAATGTCATTTCATATCCTTTGCTTGTTTTTCTGTTAGGTATTGGTTTTTTACTTACTGATTTTAGAAGCCCTTTGTCTTATAATTTGATTTGAAAATACATTTTATGAATTTGTCATAATATTTTCTTTCTATCTATGTCATTCTATTTCTTTTTCTTGTATCTATTACTTTCTATCATGAAGTCTCTATGATTTTAATGAACATTTTACAAATAAGTTCTGTCTTCACTAATGGACCCATTTAACAGAACAGTTACTAAACATCCACTGTGTTAAATTATGAGGTCACAAAGGTAAAGAATAGTTCCTACCTTGATGAATCTCAAACTACATTGGGAGAGACTATATAGGTAAACATGTTTACCTATTCCTTCAAAATTTGTGTTTACTCTGGGTAAAGCAGTGTGTAGGCGCACAGAATAGAAATGTGAATGAGGTTAGTTTTGCCATTGAGAGTACAGTCTAATTGG